TCAGTGGATCCTCCTTGCTCGAGAGGGCACGAACGTGGTCCTCATTCCTTTCGTTCAGAGCTTTCGTGAAGAAGTCTGACCATCGGGCCGGCGGTCGTCCAGGTGTTCGTTTGACGTCCCGAGGGATCCAGTCGGTAACCGCTCTGGTCCAACGGTCATCGCAAAATCGCATGACGTGTCCGGCCCACCTTATCTTCGATTCCTTGGCGAAAACGGCAGCGTCCCTGATCTTCGATCGTTGGCGTAGTTCGGCACTCCGGATTCCCCTCTGCACTTGCGTGTATAGGGTTACTCCTAGCATCGTCCTCTCGACAGCGCGTTGGATAACGCTGACCGCATGCTCGTCCTGCCTGCGCAGAGTCGTCGTCTCGGACCGCATGCTCGTCCTGCCTGCGCAGAGTCCAAGTCTCTGAGGCGTAGGTTAGGGCAGGAAGGACAGCGGAATCGAAGAGGTGGGCACGGAGCCGGATGTTCTTCGTCTTCTTCACTACTCCCTCGATGTTCTTATACGCTCCCCAAGCCGCTCGTTTCCTCCTGCTCAGCTCTGGAGCTAGATCGTTCATCATATTGATTTCCCGACCTAGGTACACGTAGCTGGAGCATTCGGTGATGTTCGTTCCGTTGAGCATGAATGGGGCGTCAGGAACCAATCCTTTAAATAATAGGGAACTGATTTTAAGAATTGCAACTACATGCTCAACAAAATGGTTTACACTGATATCTTTCCATTAGTTCGAATGTTTCCTCATCATCTGAATGTGAGAAAGTTTTCTTTTTAACGAATAGTACTGGTGTTCGCCTCCATGAAGTCATTATAAGCCAGATTATTGCCACCTGGAAGTTAGAATTCTCTTGTACATAGATCGACATGAATAGAAATAAAAGCACGTTGACAGTATTGGTGAGGTTCACGCTTGAAGTCCAAGTTATTAGTTTTTTTTTCTAACTAATTAAATTCTAACAGCTCTCAAAGCACGATTGTTCTGCTCGTGATGCAGGAATCGAATTTTCGAAATATTATATTTACAGACTTTTCTGTCTTATGAGGTTTATACTTTGTCGCTTCCATCTAATCAAGAGCTTCTCTTCTCTATTTTCGATAATTCAACAATCATGAAGTACATATTCCTATGAGGGGTACGGGGTGTCCCAAGGAATATCACACGCTAACTTCCAGAGCGTTTATACCCACGTAACTTTACCACGATTTTATGTAACACAAAACAACTTCAACAAATTGACACTTCGAAGATTCGAGCTCTTTCATACATTTAGAAAATATAATAGCTTTCATCACTTGTGTAAAAAGGCCGATTATAGCTCGTTGTTGGTTCCACTGAATCTTACTCCATAAAGCCGGTGCTTCAGATCGCGGAACAGAACACACTCACAGAAGACTTGCACTCTGTACCATAGGCTAGTGGTTGGTTGTATGACCTGCTTTGGATTGATCATATGACATCCTCATCTTCAAATGGCAGCCATTGAAAATAAAAACTTCCAAAGGAGCCTTGACACACAGGACAACTTTTGGAAACTCAATGTTCCGACGCCTTGTTTAGACCCAAATCGTCATGCTAAGTGAAATCCAATTGTCATATAAAAGTACAAATTCTGCTGCATTCTATGCACCCAAAATGTTCCTGTTCCGCAATGAAGTTCTGTACGGCCATATGTTTCTGTTCCGAAGTCACATTCACTGGTCGGCTCATTTCTCATAGCTTTTTTCCCCTCGAAGCTCTGTGGCCCACAGCGTCACTTGACGGTAGGAAAGGGCCTCGCACTTGAGATCGTATGACAATACTCGTGAACTTCCTCTGTGCTCCGATTCCTTTGTGGAGCAGGAATTCAATCATGGTTGTCTCTTGCCACGGCTTTTGCCATGCTTCCCTCTGTAGAGCGGTTGGTGTTTTTCAATGGCTGAACAAGTCTCCATGAAACTTTGCATGCAACCATGAAAAACTTCCGATAAATGCGCTGCGCGAACTTGCTATTGGGGATTCACTTCAAGCCTTATGTGTGTTATCCAGGAAAGAAAGGAAGAGCGTACAGGGGATGAGCCAGTTCGTTACCAGGAAGCAGCGGTTCGGTGATGCACAGCTCACGATATTGTATTAACGACTAGAAGTCAAGCTCATAGCCCTCTACTTTGTACCAACCTAAAAATTTAAAATTGAGGATAGCAGGAGCGTTCGACCCGTTTGACGTGAAACGAAGCATAACTTCTCATCATGTGTCGAAATTTTATTGTGACTCCAAAGGCTTTTCACAATAGTAACAAAAGTATGCCATTAATTTCCCCAAATAATAAACTATTCACTTCAGGATTCCCATCAGAAAGTCGCCAATCGAGGTTGGCCAATGTACAGGGCAGCTACGGGAGAAGGACTTCTCGTAAGGACCCAATGTAATGGTCTGTAGCCCTTCCCCTCAGTGAGTCTCCCTCCTCCATCGGGTCGCAAACCTTGGACTTCGTGCCTAACGTCCCTACTGTACTATCGATTAAGATCTGATCACTGAAACTAACTCCTCACAGCAAAGGCAGCTCATAGTGTATTGGTAGCTGTTACCTCTGTCTCTTACACACACACACGAAACAGCGCTAGTAACTTTATGTGACTTCACGCGGCTCGTGTGAACTAATTGTTCGCAAACAGGTCAATTAGACCTAATATTCCGTCTCAGTGGCCTGCGATCCACTGCGATTGGATTTCTTTGGCGACGTAAGGGGAGTACTTTATGAGAAACGATATGACGATGTTATGAGAAACGGATTGGTTCCTGATGCCCCATTCACGCTCAACGGAACGAACATCACCGAATGCTCCAGCTACGTGTACCTAGGTCGGGAAATCAATATGATGAACGATCTAGCTCCAGAGCTGAGCAGGAGGAAACGAGCGGCTTGGGGAGCGTACAAGAACATCGAGGGAGTAGTGAAGAAGACGAAGAACATCCGGCTCCGTGCCCACCTCTTCGATTCCGCTGTCCTTCCTGCCCTAACCTACGCCCTAACCTACGCCTCAGAGACTTGGACTCTGCGCAGGCAGGACGAGCATGCGGTCAGCGTTATCCAACGCGCTGTCGAGAGGACGATGCTAGGAGTAACCCTATACACGCAAGTGCAGAGGGGAATCCGGAGTGCCGAACTACGCCAACGATCGAAGATCAGGGACGCTGCCGTTTTCGCCAAGGAATCGAAGATAAGGTGGGCCGGACACGTCATGCGATTTTGCGATGACCGTTGGACCAGAGCGGTTACCGACTGGATCCCTCGGGACGTCAAACGAACACCTGGACGACCGCCGGCCCGATGGTCAGACTTCTTCACGAAAGCTCTGAACGAAAGGAATGAAGGACATCGTGTCCCTCGAGCGAGGAGGGTCCACTGGACAACTCTTGCACGCGACAGGGACGAATGGAGACGTTGCTGGCGCCCGCTCGAGCAATTCGATGATCAACGGGACGACAGGTGATACAGGTGAAGGGGATTACTGTCGCCGGAGACGGTCAATTCAATCGTCGGCTAATGAGGTCACGCCGCTCACGCGGCGGACAGCGTCGCGCGCGGCAAATGGTGCGGCGATTTTTGTATGGGTCTTGGCTTAACGGTCCTTGTTCATAAGTTGCTGGTGGGGTTCAGAGAACTGATAAGATCAAAGTTCCAGACATCAGTGAGCCAACAAGAACCACCTCAAAATCTCCGCAGTTATTTAAGCCTCACAGTACAGAGCTTGTGCCATGTAAAGGTTGTCCTTTTGAACAGGATGAGACTTCTTTATTAATCAACTGCCTGAATTGTTTATCAGAGAGTGATAATTCTGGCTAAATCGGGAAAAGTATTGCGCTCCAAGACGCAGTGGAACGGTGAGGAAGGCAATACAGTATGACAGAATAAGTTTGTAATAATGGCAAAGGACAAGGATCCTGTATTTTAAGGGGCAGGTGATCATATACCGTGTTTCACGACTGGGAACTTCATCTAATCCTACATTCCCCAATGCTAGAACCCTGAATTCTAACCACGGCCGACGTCGCATCGCGGGCTGCGGCGGCTGGCGCGGCGACCTAGCTATCGCCACGATTGAATAGTCACGCACCCGAGTACTGTCCCGTGCAGTCTGAGAGAGGTAGTATGAATTTATGGGAAACTCACAGTGGAGGACAGTCTGACGTGACGACAGTTAGAGTATTTTTAGTAGAGGGCCGTGCGGTGAAAACGAGTCAGCCGCACGGGGAAGAAGGTGTTAGAAGTGCCAGGCCACTCTGATCGATGCCACAGTTTGGCCGCGCTTTTCCGCTCGATCACAGTGGTAGGGTCGCAAGGGAGAGGTTACGGCGGTTAACTACGGTAGGCGCTAGCACACCCAGGAGAAACCGTGGGAGCGAACCTCGCGATTCGCGACAATACTGTGCGTCTTTTTGTGCTAGCAAATTAAATCGCTGGTCTCTCTTGAGCCTACTCATTGTCGTAAGCCCACGACAAACAGCAAATGGTCGCCAGCTTCGAGGGGCTCTTAATGCACCTTAGTGCAGCGATCTTACCACAGCCGGCTATTGTTGTAGAGCAATACGCAACAAAAGAGTACTAAGACGGCACAGAACGCCTTTTATTCATACTTCTACAAGTTAACCCGCCAATAATAGCACAAAAAATGTTAATACAAAACAAGCCAATGATAAAACTGAAAGGCAAGTTGAAAAATGAAATACAAAGGTCTACATCAATACAGCTGGGACAAAAAAGGAAAAACAAGGTGAGAACATCAAAGCACAGTGGATTTTATACTCTAACCTTTGTGTCCCACAAGGCAGGTATTGTGGGTAACAAAAAATGAAACACATTAGAAACCGTGGAGACGTAAAAAAAGGAAAGCTAAGGTAAGCAACGGTTCTACTTGCTGAAAATTTTACTCAGGTTAGTTTCAGAACTAATTATTCACTTTCCCTTCTTGTTTCGTTTCCTGGACCTCATCAAGCACGTCCTCCATAACATTCCGTTAAAACTTATAAAGACGGTTTGACTCTTCCAGGTCCTCGTACGACCTGTCCAATTCAAGCGATTTCTGAAATCCGCAAGAAGTTAGCAGAAATATTGCGACAAAATCAAACTCACCCTTTCGAGTAACGTATTACAACGACGCCGACGTCAAACTATGCACTTAGTAGAATTTCGCACTTTATATCTGTCTTTTGTCTAGAGGGTCGTCGGAGAAGATTTCTTACGTAATTCCCAAAACAAGCTTAAAACTCTCGAGCTTCACTTAGAGCTGGCTCAACATTCACTTATTTCTCTTAAAGTCAATATGCCGTTTACTCCTTCAGGTCTTTGTATCGTTCAAACGTAGGGCAAAGAAGCAGTTATTGTGTTACTGAATAGTATGATTATATTGTTTGAATGTATGTAATTGTGATTGCAGCTTTTACGTCTGCCTGCGAGCAGCGTCTAAACTAAATCAAATAAATAAACACAAATTAAAACAAATAAAAAATAAGAAAATATCTTTCGAGAGAAGTAAAGCTCACGTTGAAACTAGTCTCCAACTCGATATCGATTTCCTTTTCTAGCCTCTCTGCCATGACTCTCCAATACGAGGATGTTGGTTCTTCACATAGCAAGTCCTTAATAACACAACTATTGAGAAGCAATGCTTTGCTAAAGCTCAACTATGGATAATTGTACCTCTTTAGTAATTGGAGATGACTTCTCAATAGTTGTAACAACAGTCTGTACGTGGGCAGCTTTCACCTGAAAATAGAAGCATGCAAATCATATGCTAAATAGTTCGGTAATGCCCATGCTGCCATTTGAAGGTTAATTTAATTTCTATTCAGTAACTTCGAAGCACGAAGCTGCCTGTACATAAATCATTGATGACTGCCACTCATTCATTGCAAACTTCTCTTAATTAAACAATTTCTGCCGATTCTGAAAATCCTTATCTAGATCGTATGTTATTGCCTTGTTATCGCTGCTTGAGGCAAACAAGTGCTTGGGAAGAATAGGTGAAGAGGAGGTGTCCACGACAGACAAGATTCGGTAAGCCCAGCAGGTCTTACTCGATCTTATAAGTGAACGATATGTTGACCCCAATATTTGGAATGGGTCAAACTTTTAATAGCGTCTGATACTAGCTGGAACATACACGCAAGAAATATTCAGAGACTCTTTTAGTGCAAAATAGAATTATGATCAACAAACACACCTCAACTGTCGCTTGCGTTTCTTGGTTTTCCTTGCCGATTACTATGGCAGGCGTCACTTTCCTCCTTAACTCGTGTTTCTCCTGTAAGGAATTCGTGACAAAAGAGGTTCAAAAAGATGAAAAAAACTAGGATGTCAGAACTTGCCGTGATCGGAGTGAGATTTTGAACCGCATTTGACTTTTTTGCGTTGAGAACCTTGATTGATGGACTATTGGTACTCGAATTAGAGAACTGCTTGAGTCCCACTCGTATACTAGCCATTCCTTGAAATATTATCGATGAACACCCACCTTTTACAGAATAGATACGAAAAATTGCAAACAAGCTAGTAGTTGAAATAAAACACCAACTGAAACGACCTCACTCAACTAAGAAATGAAATTTATAATGTACATTCAATATACACGAAAGAAGTTTCATTGAATCACCCGGAAACAATGTTTTGGGAAGTTGACTGTATCAAAGGCCAAAATGAAACTGTAACAACATCACTCTAGAATGTAATACTTATCAATGTGCTGAAACAACAATTCAACGAAAACTATGAAAGGAAACATTGCGCACACCTTAGAAGAAAGCAAAGCACCTTCTGTGGTTGAAAAAAAGGAATAGTTTTATAAGTATCAAAGCGAAGAAACCTAACAAAAAAAAAAACAAATGATGAAATTCACATAGTATTAGATAAGGCTACTTTGGCTGCTGCTCTCCGTCTTCGGGTGGACCCGAATCATCGGGGTCCTCCGAATTTTCAAGAATGCTCTGCAACTGGTTGTACAGCTCATCATGTTTCTTGTCCATTGCCTGCTTTTCGAGGATGTTCTTTTTCGTCAACAACTCGATCTTCAAAAGTAACGATTAGAAAATGTAGCTCAGTAGGCTTTCTGAGAGATGCTCCGTTGCACACGTGCGGCTCATTAGATATTGACGACATTCAGTCGTGATCTTTCAATGTTACAGCTTTCTTTCTATTTGTGAACTATTTCAAACTCTTCAATGTAATACGTACGCTGTGTGGCTCGATTTCAGAAACTGAAGATTTAAAAATGCGAATCAGATCAGACAAATTCCTATAATTGTAACGTTGTCAATGTCAGACTGCGGCTTAGAGTATAGCGTTAGTGCAAGGACGTATCCATTCATGAGGATTGACCCAAGTTTTTTTTGGCAGATATCAAGAACAAGCTTTCTTCATGTACAATCCATAAACAGTATGGAAATATATATTGTATAACTGCCATGCTATGGGGCTTTCCACATCTATGGTTTATGACGTGATAGCTCAGCCCAGTAGGAAAAACCCCTCATTCGCTGGAAGACTGCTGCTATAGTTATAACTATAGCTGATGAAAGAAAAAATCCGGAATAAAGCACCTCTGTGGCTAGTAATGTTGAAATCTCACCTTCTCAATTTCTTCCCTTATGCAATCAAGTTCACTCGCTCGCTGTGTCGCAACTGCACGCCAGAAGAACACATCAGGACAATCGTTAGAATCCTCTTTACCACTGGAGGAAATTTGAGACTTCGGTAGCAAGGGCAACGTGATCGCATGAAATCTTGAAATAATAGCGAGTATCAGGTTTGAGATTGAGGAAACGCAAGTTTTTCACGCGATAACATTCAGACTGTACTGAACCAGAGTAACTGAAAATACGACACTTGAATAAGCTGGATGTTTCTTGGCTGCTTCTTAATCGAAGCGCTATCATGAAAGATTGGGTGGGAGTGGCACAGTGGCAAGGCGCCGCTTACCATAGGTACGGTCCGGTGATCACATCTTGGGCAGCGCGCCATCCATGTCAGCCGAACCTTCCAGCTAACTAGAGTCTTGCACTGGTACCGCACTTGTCTAGGAACATAAAAGCACACGGCTTGTACATGCTTCGTTGGCCGCCGGCGCAAGCATATTTAGACAGATGGTAATCAAATGCAACTATAATATGTTCCCGAATAGAAGCAGAATGCGTGGCGCATCCCAAAAGATATTGGTTGTCGGCGAGTGATTCATCATTTGCCTTTGATATCAGCTCAATTATGGTCATCAGTGAAAATATCGACATATCATTGGAAATATAGAAAAAAGCCTTCATGATTTCCGAAAAAATTTCCGGGCAGTTCTTCGTCTTGTGCGGTCAGCATCGCCTCTGCTGCATGCTTGGCGTGAGAAAACATAAACACCTCTACGAAAATAAAGCGGAGCCTATTTGACACACAATTGCTGAGTGTGTTGTGCCTTTTGAATCGGGATTGTCAGCGGTGCGCTAGAGTTGCTACTGAAAAGACGGCACTATTGCACTACTATTACAACCCCAGCGGGGGCCGAGATGGGTTCAAAAAATAATTTTCGCTGAAACTTTTTGCTATGGGGGTTATCGAGGGTCCTGATCACGAATATGGCATCCATTTTTGGCGCTGGCGCCAAATTGGCGCCATTTGGCGCCACAACTGATTATCACCAAATTCGCTGTAAACTTCTGAATAGGGGTTATTTGGGGCCCTGATCACGAATATGACACTCATTTTTGACATTCGTGCTGTTTAACGCATATTTTCTGCTTTCTAAGCTTTCTCACCTACAGCGCCTAAGATACAGGGGTGGCCAAAAAAAAGAGACACTTTGCCCATGGCGCACATCATCGAACTTTTCGTCGCACAGGGTGCCGATGTTAATGAAAGTTTTACGGCAGAATATTCCTTAGGTGTTCCCCGTAAGCAGAAGCAGGCCCTCCTTCACTGCCCCCGCCGTCTTCAGAATATGACGTCATCTGCCGCCACCGTCGAGCTCAACGAGGCTTACCGTAATCGCTCCGGCCTGAAGCTGCTACATAATTTCTTCAATGGATTAACTGTTGAATAGCTTCCAGAGACATTAGCTGTGACTATGCAAAACCGCTTTTGACCAGCGTTTCAGGGACGTCGTAATGGTCTATGGTACCTCGACGACCTCGTTGAGCTCGTACCGTGAACCATGTTTCCGTGGGAAAATCTTCTGATGTCGTCGGTGTAGAAGGCTGTCATGTAATTTTAGATAGATTAGAATGTGCTCTTCAATACTGAGTTGGGGGCAGTCGATTTGATTCTAGCAAAGTGTGATTAATGCTGTCTGAAATGTGGAGTCAAGTGTCTCCTTTTTTTGGCCACCCCTGTAAGCTTAGAGGAGGGGGTGAAACTCCGGAGTGGGTAAACCACGCACCGTGTGGCAAAAGTTGGAGTGTGTTAGACCACAGGGGAGTGGCCTACTCACTTTGGAGCCCTCCACTATTCAAAGGCTTAGTCCTGATTGCGATCTAATTAGTGCGAGGGCGCAGACGAGCAGGAAGCAGGCGCCGAATAGCGCCAACAACAAAACGAATGTCATATTCGTAATCAGGACCCCAAATAACCCCTATACAGAAGTTTACAGCGAATTTAGTGGGAATCAGTCGTGGCGCCACCTGGCGCCAAATGGCGCCAAATTGGCGCCAGCGCCAAAAATGATATCATATTCGTGATCAGGACCCTCGATAACCCCCATAGCCGAAGTTTCAGCGAAAATTATTTTTTGACCCATCTCACCCTCTGGGGTTGTAATAGTGCAATAGCGCCAAAAATACGAATAACTCCTCAGATTCACCAGAAGATCCAGAAATTTTTTGGGGAAGGACTTCTTCTGTACTACGTTTTAGTGCGCCGACCACAAATATCACATCCATAGTTGGCACCATTTTGGCGCTTACATTGTACCAAGCAAAACTGTTAGCAAAAATGGATACCATATTTGTGATCGCTGAATAACCCTTGAGATGGTGCACAATTTCGAAAATCCACCAAATGCGCTAGCGCCAAAAACTGATGTCATATTCGTCATAGTGTCATTGCAGTGAATTGACCCAATAAGAGAAGCCTCTAGGAAAGGTTGAATTTTGTAAATTATGGTTTTATTAGTTAACAGCGTTGCAATAGCTGAATAGCGAAATGACGCGCTTCTCGCCAAATCGGAGAGATCAAGAAATTTCCCATTGTAGATGCTTCTACGGCTAGTACACTACTAAAGTGCTGCCGTGCTGTCTCCCCACCCCCATCCCCCTCGCCCCACGCAACTGCGCCTCAGAATTCATTCAGAATAGCCTTCCGAAGATTACTATGGATCGAAAAAGCCTCTGTAATGCTGAATGGCTAGACTTTTGAAGATTTAGTGAATTACAACCAAAATGGATAGGGTCGGAGAGCGTATTTCTAGTCGTCGAAAAGCTAGTCCTTTATGCAGCATATTATCAGAATAGTGTTGCTGAGTATAAGCGTTATAAAGGTTGGCACTGTCATATATGGTCCGAGTGAAGCTTTCATACACCAAAAAGGAAAGGAAGGAGATAAATTGGGCTGAACGCTATAAAACACGACTAACCTCAGTTTGCACTTCGACGTGACGACAGAACGGTCCCTCTTCACTACTTTCGCATGGAACGTCTTCGAATATTGAAAAGAGCTTGTATCGGTTTCGGACATTCCGTGCGATTCGAAATTTCCCAACGGCTAGATATTTCACAAGATGTTTCTTACATTGCTCCGCGATGCGAGTTTCATCGCACCAATCGCCGCCAATTCGCGAGGTTTTTGGGCCGCGATAACTATGGGAAAGTGCAAGGAAAGTCTGATAATCAAGGCGCCGTGTCTCGGTTGTTGCGGTGCGGGCCTGTTTGTTATCTTTATTCGTGAACTGCAATGAGTGCTAAATGCTTCTTTCTCTTTTAATTTTTAGTGCGCTTTAATTATTACTGTACCAAATGTTTAATGAATAGCGACTTTTATTTGCCCTGATGGTGCATACGTTTCATGGAAGCATTCAGGTCAACCCATAATTAGCAGTATTAGTGAAAGAACGAGTTGTGTATGGAGGCAAACAAAACACAAGTTTACTTGCTCAGCGCTTTTATTCGTAGAATCAGTTCTATGCCCGTGCCCAGCTTGTTTGCAGACTCCGCGGCGAAAGACCGTCCCGGCAACTCTCTCCAGCCAAGATATGGGGGGTGTGGTTCACTAGGGCAGTAGCGAATTTGGTGCTAACTAGTGGGGGGGGGGGCGCCGGCGGCGCAGGCGTCTGGTGCCTGCATGTTCAGGAATCGTGGGCAGGGGGTGTGGGCAGTCTAGGGGGGGGGCCCAGGTTACACGTCTCGCTCAAAAGCCAGATTGAGCAGGATGGTCCGGCACGCGCGTGCCCCCCCCAACTAGTTAGCGCCTGCGGATTTTTCGTGTTCTCGCACGCGAAAACGGTTTTTTCGTTGCGGCAATCAGTTCCCCAGCCTCAGTGACGAGAGTTCTCGCAGCAAAATGTTCGCCCTGCGACAGTGAATAATCTTCTTCTCTCTTAGTAAACACCCGTATGAGGTAGAATGTTATTGTGCTGTTTCTTCTGTGCCATACAGGTTGTTGTTATGGTGGAACACGTTTATTGGTCAACGTTTCGACAATTCGTCGTCTTCAGGACCTGAAACTGGTTCGAAGTCCTAGCTCTGTAGCTCACCCGGTGAAGCGCTTAATCTTGCTAAGAAAACTTTTGCACTTTTTGCGTTCTGGGAACTAGTAAGATTAGGCGCTTTACCGGGTGAGCTACAGAGCTAGGACTTCGAACCAGTTTCAGGTCCTGAAGACGACGAATTGTCGAAACGTTGACCAATAAACGTGTTCCACCATAACAACCTGTATGGCACAGAAGAAACAACACAACGCTCGAAATGCCCAGGTTCCAAGAAGACCGAACATGAAATTATTCTTGCTTTTCAAATCATGACAGATCATAAACTTTCTCGGTACCAATAAAAACATACATAAGTGAGGATTAAATAACAGCCTGTTTTATAGAAAATTAGCTCACTCACTAATAAGTTACTACATATTCGATGTGAAAGCAAACATGCATATGAGATTTGCAACAGAACAGAGAATCACAGGGTTATGACGGGATTATGCGAAAATTATGGCAACACGAGTTCATATTAAAACAATCGAGAGATATCAAAAGCACAGAAATGAGCAACGTAAGCACAATTCCACATAGGCTCTCAAAGGGGATGGCAGTTACGGTAGCTGTTCGCACTTTGAAGTGCTACCGTGAGCCACAAAAAACCAGCTTTCGAAGCGCTCCCCGAAAAGAGCGCTTCTTGGACGGGCATGGAAGCACCACCGAAGACGTTGATGAAGACCTTAGAACTACTGGCTTTCCTTGGTCTGTAGATCTCACGAAAGTGGTTCTGTGCTGGATGCTCGATAGCAGTACCCAAATTGTCATAACAGCGAGCTGTGGTACTCCGGCGACGTGGGATCCATTTGCGTAGTGAGCAGAACGATTTTCGTTTTGTAGTTCTGGGGAGAACCGGCACTGAGATCACTGATACGTTTTCCTGAAAATATTTAAAGATTAGCTACTGATGTCTTTTTTGAATGTTCCTTTTAGCATCTACGCTCGCTCAGCCATTCCTTTTTTTGGAAAAAAGAAGACGTTATTAGAGTCTTTCTGTATAAAGCCGCTACGGACCATAGAATCTGTTAGGAGCAGTGTCTCTATTCTGAGGTCGACGGATTAATTATAGACCTGCTTGTGAGATGAAACGTAGCCCTAACCCTTGCAGAAGACGACTTTTATGAAAATAAGGTGTCGATGTGTTTTGCTTTGTAACTATCGCTTCAAGCAACAACCAATCATCTATAGAAATTTGGCTGGCGTACGCTGGAGTTGATCTGGGATTTGATCCAGAGACCTATGCGCGGCAGCGGCCCCTCTTGTCACCACACCATCTCCGCTCAAATGAATATTTTTAAAAAATGAATTGGAAACTTAATCACCATTAGCAAATACACATTTTAGCATCAAATCTGTGCGAATGTTAAAAATTATCCCTTTGAAATCTGCAGTGACCACTGACGGGGATGACTAGCTTAATTACCTGATCCAGAAAAATTCAGCTCGACTTGTGACATTTTGTTATCGGAGTAAAAATTGTAAAGTTTCTATTTGTGCACAAGTACGCTGTCAAGCGAGCGCCTTTGTCTCGATAAGGCCAACGACAATACCTTTGACTACGAAAGTATTGGGTTGGTGAAGTTCCCGCCGTTTTCAGTCGCTCACTTTTGAACGCTTCATTTCTGAGTCACTTCCGCGAAACCATTTAATTTTTTTAATTGATTTTGATTATTAACTGTTTTGTATATCAGAAAGCGCGTTTCTCAAAACAACATAAAATGTCTAAATGTACCTGTTACTCTTACTCGTGATAAGCTTTTCTCCTCTTTTGAAGTGCCACAAGCACGGTCATCGTGGCGATGTGATATTTACATTTGATTGAAAGCTCAGGTTGAAAAAATACAGTCAAATCATGCGCAGTAGAAGGCCAGTGACTCAACAAAAATGTTAGCCTCAAAATCGATTGCTTATCCTTCACCTTGGCACAAGGAACGAACACATGAACCAGCATCACCTCCAGAGTGATAAGAGAAGTGTGGGCGTTTTTAGGACCACATGACATATGTCCTTCACATACTACAGGGGCAACACAAAACTATTTCGCTTAATCACAACGCGACTTAGTCACAATTATGGCCCTTCAGTAGCGCGGGAATATAAGAAGAAAAATTATATCATTATCATATTATAGAGAGAGATCTAGACCCCCTTCTTATAATTCAGAGACGGCGTCGCTCATATCCTTGGGGCAGAACCTATCCCAAACCAGCAGCCGATGTAATAGGCTCTGTTTCATGACTAGGACTAACAGCTCAGCTGATGGGAAACGCCAGGGAGAACACAACACTGCTCGTATGCTCCCCAGGATCCCTTTCCTCTTCTGAAGCTTGGTCCCAAGCACAGTAATAGGCTCACTCACCTGAATGTCTCCCCCCTCCTCCTCCAAGGACATGCGCGCTCACTGAGACTTAATTACGACAAGATCGAAGAAGAAGAAGGAGAGGCATTAGTTTCGGTCAAAGCTAGGGGTATAGATTGCTTGTAAGGGGTAAGGTCACACCACCTGTTTGGTCGGCTCAGGCATAAAGGAAGTGCTGCATTTTTGGACATGGAATCTTTCACAGAAATTGGTGTTTTTTTAAGTGTAGAGAATTTCCGCAGTTTTGCCGTCTTACTAACCTCCCTCTCTCTCGTAGCTTAGGTGTTTGTTTAGATATGCCTCTCATTCGATAGCAAGAAATTCGTGAGATATTATAGAGAGAATATATACTGACAAGCCCATCGTTAACCTAAGTACACGAAAACTAATCATCTGTAATATCCCACGCCCTATCACATCGGTTGAACGAGTCGTTGACTTTCCATGCAAGTTACCATAAGAAATTGCTACGCAAGCGGAGCTCTTTTATGGATTTGCCGAATAACACGTAGAAACCTCTCCAGCAGCATTTTTTATGTGGGAGTTTGATAAGGAGTGGAGTTTGTGCTGTGACACAAACCGCCAAAATGACAGTTTTGGGGTCGAATATCAGACTCTCAAGCAATCATCGTTTCCCTAATGGGGTGACTGTTCGGCACCATAGTTGACTGTGGGCTAAGGAAATGTCCGAGTTAGAAAGAAGTTTGGATTGACGCCAAGGTCATTATAGATGGGCGCGAATCCCTCCCCCCATTTTTGCTGTTGTTCGCATTTTTTCAAGCACAACCTTTTCAGGCAGAGGATCGTGGTGAACGCTTCCCTTCGGTCTGTAGTATGGAGACCCCTAGAGGACAATCACAAATGTGGCGTTCCCGTACACGCAGACCAACCGACAAGAGCGCCTTGGGTTCCTGCAAAGTAAGCTGCTTAAGCTGCAGTGTTTTTCTTCTCTTATCAGCTGTGGTCTGCCGCTCTCTCATCTGTAACGTTCTCTCGTCTCATACTCTCCTCTCCGCGCTTAGTCCCTTATTCCCTTAAGATAGCCGCCTAGTAAGGTGAGTGAGCCCTCAACCTAAACGATTCCGACGGATCCCTTTCCGTTTTTCTTTTATACTCGTGGGCCCATTTCGCACCCATAAATTCGCATTCGTGTGCCAAAGCCAGACCAATGTGGTCCTGGGGGATGCCTTTCAATTGAGCGTGTAGCTATCCGAACTGGAGAGTCATCAATGCCGACCACTTTTTTCTTTTTTCATTTTTGTCTTTTTTGAAGCATCATATTAATGTCCTAGGAACTAAACGATGCAAAATAAAATGCTGAAGCTGCTCTTTTACGAATAATCGATCGGATTAATAATTCGTTTTTGCTTTAGCTCGAGCGCAATTCAATGTTCCTTGCGCGCACCACAAAAATATTCCCGAAAGCTATCTCTGAGCTGTTCTACTTAAAACCAGAATTTACGATGAAAAAGCAGCCACACTCAAAGTAAGTTAAGTATGGTGAGTGGTACAAGAAAGAAGGAAAAACCATGAGAAACTGTTCAGAACCCGAGTACGGGACCCCTTACTTACCCAATGATTTCCGCGTTGATGCATTCTCATCGCTGTGCCCTCTTCTTCAACACTACG